GTGAACAGCTGTTTGTCGCCCCTTGTTTTACCCCTGCCGTTGATGCAAAAATTACATTTCCTAGGGAGTTCCTTGTGTTTTTTAGACTGTTCGCTAGAGCTGTCAGATATTTGCCACCGCATCCCTGATCAGCCAGTTTTTGCAAAAGAATATTCCTATTCAGTTTGTCGTATGCCTTGATATAATCTATGAACGCTATAAACAATGTTTGTTTGGTCCTCTGAGCATAATCGATGATTAACCTGAGAATGAAAAACTGTTCGGCACAGCCTCTGCCTACTCGACCACCCGCCTGTTCGTCATCTGGTTGAAACCAGAGCTCAAAGCGATTTCTTAAAACACCATCATAAACCTTGGCTAAAGCTCCCTGGATACTAATGCCACGGTAGTTATTGGTGTCGTCCATTCTTCCTTTTTTGAAAATTATGAATAGTTTTGCAATCGACCATTGGTCCGGATATTCCCCTTCAAAAACCATACTAAATAACTGCGCTAAAACATGTAACCATTCACCATCGAGCATTTTGAGAATTCCAGGCGGTATTCCGTCTATACCTGCAGTTTTATCTCTACGAAAACCTTTAACCCTCGCCCGCACATGCCATTTTCCCATCCTAGAACGCACATGGGGGGGGGGGGTGGTGGTTGCCACCCCCCGCGCCATTTCGTTCCTGTGACCAAAAAGATTCTTTGGGAAGAGACGAATCCAATGATACCCAGTTTTACCTTCTCAGGTCAGTCATTGACCTTCCAGGTCAGGTCAAACTAAAAAAATGTTGCTGTTTTGGGTCACCGTTGGATATCAAGTGTGCTGCTTATCAAATACCGATGACGATGCTGTTTTCTGGTGCCAAGCCAGCTAGAACCTCTTTGTCACACTACCCGACCAGAATTTTGCTGCTGAGGTCATTTCAGGTCAAGTTAGGTCAAGGTCAATTATATGTGTTTGTATGTCTGTGTGTGTCTGTGTGTATACTGATGTGTGCACCGATTGTTTTTGGGTCCATATTACATGAAATCATGATCTGAGAAGCTTTTACCAAAAATGCAGTCAAAAAACTTCAAAAAAGTAAATTCAGCTTGCCTAAAACGCAATTATCTTAGGTGACCTAGGTTGACCTTGACCCTGACCTTGACCCCTGTACATCGTCGAACAACATGTTCCATGATAGGTAGGAGGTAAGACTGGCAAAAAAGGCCGAAATCAGGGTGTCAAAAGCTCATAAGGCCCATGGCAAACGCAAGATGTTGAGAATTGGCCATTTGGGTCATGACATGACCTGAAAAACAAGGTCATATCTCCGAAACCAAAAATCACAGAAACTTGAAATTTTCAGTGGACATCAAGAAAGGATAGAGGAGCAGCTATACGAAAAATCAGCCTTCTAGCTCTAAAAATGTGGAGTGCAGAGCAGAAAGACTACCTGGGGGGGGTGGCAACCACCCCCCCCCCCCCATGTGCGGGCGAGGGTTAATGACGTTGTTGATTTCCACCACACTGATGGGATCATCCAAAATTGGCATGTATGTACTCGTTTCAGGCACTCTCAGCTCTGTGTCAAGTGATGTAGGGTTTAAGAGAGCCTCGAAATGGCGGCGGAACACTTCATCGCTTGGTTTACTTTTATCGTTATCTCGGAACTCGATCTTTCCTTTCCAGTTTATCGAATTCCAAATCGCCTTTGCATCATTCTTTTTCAGCAGAAACTGCCAGCGAGATTGAGCATATTGGGTCATCCCACCTGACTCATTGTGAGCGCGCTGGTCACTTCGTTTAGCGGTCAAGCAGGCGCTATACAGTGTGTCTGTCAGCCTCTCACAGACCCTATCTACCGACTACCGTCATCGGCTGGTCTGCTTCGGTGTCGTGCAGCTGTCGCCGCCAAAGAGCGGGGTCCGGGAGATCTGCACTGAAACCTTCTCCGCTGATGGAGTTAATTGGCACCGCTTTACGCGCTACACCGTGTCCTCTCCGTTCCCGATGTGTGTAACAGAGCTGCTCTCTCTAGCGTGGCGTCTGGGGACGGAGGAGGACGCCATAACCTCACGGACAAAGCGGCGTGGTCAGAGTCTCAGAAAGGGCGCTCTCTGGTCCACGACAAAGTTTTCGATCAGATGCATGAGCGACGGTGAGACAAGTAGCCAATCCAATTGCGAGATCCATTTTTCTCGCTTCCTGAACGTTAGATTTCCATTACAACGTTAGATTTCCATTAAAACACTTTCGTCTATGCCTTAAATGATTAACCCGCGCCCTGCTGGGGGGGGGGGGGGTGTTTGAACACCCCCCCTTGTGGTTTTTCGCGAATATCTCAAAAACGGCGGCGCGGAGCGCCGCCGTTTTTGGTACACCTTATCATACATCAATTCTACACATGTTGTGAAAATTTCAGACCAAGGTCATCCAAGGTCAGGTCACCAGGTCACTTGAAGTGACCTCACCTCATAAAAAGTTTCAATGTCTGTCATAGCTACACCGAGTGACCGATCGCTTTGAAACTTTCAGCGATTGCTAAGAGCAATAGCATGTACAAAATGTATATCTCAGAATTTTGATATCGATGACCTAAGGTCAGGTCAATTTTTCGACCTCCCCATTATAAGTCAATGGGAGAAAATTGAAATGCGCCTCTTTTGGACGAAAGACATTATAAACACTCCCAAACACTGAATTACAAGTGGTTTAGACACACTGAACATGAAAATGGTGTCAGTGACCCCTGTGTATGCCCTGAGGTCATCTTAGGTCACGAATATTATCTAACAGTTTTTCGCAAATAACTTTTGATAGAGGCATGCTAGAGCGATGAAAACGCCTTAGATGTGTTCAGCTCGACGATACGGATCGACTGATATGCAACATGACCCTTTCCGGTCAGGTCATGACCTTGACCTGAGGTCAAATTTTCAAGTTGACCTTTCAAGGTCAAGTTATAGTTCATTCGATGCGTCTTGACGAGAGGAACACGATGCCGGTAAAAGTAAGCTCGTACAAGGTTTGGGTCAAAAGTTATTGCAGAAAAACTGTTTCTGAAAAAATCGGCTATTTTTGCAGTTTTTGCCCCCAGCAGGCAAAACCGTTGACGTTAGGTCAAATCTGAGACAATTACTCAGAAAGGGCGTTAATAGGGCTATCGAATGCGCTTTTTCGCGGCGCTGTAGCTCTATTGGTTCCCGAGTTATGCGTTGGCTTCTTGGAAATTGTCGACATTCGACCTGGAAATCGGCGAAATTTTGCCTTCAATGACCTCTGGTGACCTGACCTTTGACCTGACCAAAAAATTGACTGAAGTGATTTCCTCATTATTTTTGACGCTCTTTCGAACGCCGCCTTCCGCGTATCGCTACGTGGCCCAGGAGCCGAGTTAGAAGGGGGGTGTTCAAACACCCCCCCCCCCCCAGCAGGGCGTGGAAATCCAGGACCCCCAGCCGGGCGCGGGTTAACAGGGTAAATATCTAAATTCGAACACATGTTTAGCAGTTCGCGACCATGGGCGTTTTCCCCTAGATCAACATTTTGAGAATACGAAATATCTTTTGCGATATCATCTAGCTTGCACAGCGATGGCATTCTACTATTGAAATCACCAATGGCTATTATACTACATTTACTGTCTAATATTTGATTCTGAACGTCAGCGAAAGACGCAGACCTTGCTATGCACATTACCATCTGCATAGCAAGGTAAAGCCGCCTGAGTTCGTTCATTCTAGGTTTTTTCACTTCATAGTTGGCACTAATTAATCTTGCTGTTGTAAGTTATAATTCAATATTCATCCCAATACATCAATAGACAATATGCAATCATCGGCAAACATTTTCTGGCTTGATACTGTTCAGCGTGCTCTTCAGTATTGATCTCCTGCAATATTACAGCTTGTTTTCGGCCAATAAGCTTGGCCAATAAGCTCTTTTAATTTTACTTTTCTTGCTGATAAGTGAGCCAGACCAACTTGCGTTTATCAACCAACATTTCCTGACTTCAACTTGATCTTGCTCAGGACTCAGGACCTCCTTAGCCACCTGGATACTTGGGATTGTTTTCAGTTAACATGCTTCTTTAATATGATATAAGTCCATCACAAGAGATTCAAAACATCCAACAAAACGACGTACACGAGTACGAAAACCACCGGATGAATTTGAAAAAGGCCTTGGAACAGAGCCAAGTGGTGCTACATCTGTTTGTTTATAATAGTTGTAGTGCTGATACATTGTTTTAGGACTCTAACGGTCGGCATAAAAAATTGAAACATTTTTACAAAATTTGTAAGGCAGGTACTATTTTTCTGAAAGAACTAAAATATTCAAAAGCCAAACACTATGAAATACAGGAGTCTGAACGAAAAAGTAACCAAAAAATCTAGCCTAATCACTGGTTCCTAAAACTGCAACAAAATCAGCACTTTTCCCCGCAACTCGTTGTCCAGACGTAAATATACTGAAATTTGTGCTCAAAACTCGCGTGCAATAAAAAGGTGAAGAAAAATCACGGTAATTAATTGGCTGCAGTGACGAGAAAACCCAACAAAAAATGAAAAAATCGTCTTTTGTCATGGTCCGTAGAAATTTCGGTATTCATTTACTGGCGAATCCAGGGGGGGGGGGCAACCGGGCTAAAGTAAGGACTAGGGGCGGCCAAAACATGATTTCGGGCCCCTTTCCAAATCGAATTCGCCCATTTAAAATACCTATCCACTGGACCGTAATTAAAAAAAATGACAACATGCATTCAAGATAAGTTAATAAGAGCTCATTTACGCTCCTCATTTAGCCAAGCATCTCAAAAGTGGGAAATTTTGTCGTTGATAACCTTCTGAGACCTGACCTTTTGGTCGGCTTTCGCCCCTCCCTTTGCAAACGGCCAGATCCACCAGTGTATTCATTTTGTGTCCTCGAAAAAGTCCTCTGATAACTCACACTTAAGCCGAATGGTCAAAAGCAAACAAAAAAGGTGTAGCGACCAGAAAGAAGGAGTGCGCCGTCGGGGAGCTCTCACCTGTAGTGGTGGATGTGTTTTATATTGACTCCTGGGTGGTAGAAGGTAATGAGGCCAGCCGCGTGCCACGTGGAGCCGGCGGTCAGTTCCGTCTTCTCCAGCAGGAGCACGTCTTTTTGGCCCTGTGGATCGCATACAGCTTAGTCAGCTTTTTGGTCCTGTGGATCGCATACAGCTTAGTCAGCTTTTCGTCCTGGATCGCATACAGCTTAGTCAGCAAAAAGAAGGTCAGACACGCACGGCAACGAATCAAATCGAATCTAATGAACGACTCTAAATGTCAATAAATATAATGATTGTTCCTGCGCCCTGCTGAGGGATGTTTGAAGCTCCCCACCCCACCCCGCCCCACCCCTGTATGCATGACGCGAGATATTTTTAGGTGGTGGCGCTATTTCGAATCAATAATGCATTTTAAGGATTTGAACATTTATAAATGTCCACATAAGGAGTGGTTATTACGGAGCGAGCGAAGCGAGCGTAGTCTTTCCTTAGATTAACGGAAATTTCTGACGTAGTTATAAATGTTGTTGTTCAGCTGGGACAAAGTTAATGTATAAAACGTTGTTTTGACACCAGCTTTATTATTTTAACGGAAGCTTTCAAGAGCACTTTGGCTCCCTTCTTCAGCCAAGTCACACAACAAACACAAAAAAAAAACAGTAATACAAAACATCGAGGCATCGTTCGGTTCGAGGTCAAAATCGTGGCGTGAATCAAATGTGGCGCACTGATTATTTGAACTATACGATTTTGACCTCGAACCGAACGATACCTCGATGTTTTGTATTACTGTTTTTAGTGTTTGTTGTGTGACTTCACTGAAAACAATTCAACCCGCGTACAGCGAGTAAAACCCGCTGCTGGCGGGTACACCTACCCACCACCTAATTTGACACTCTACCAGCGGGTGCGTTTACCCGCATACCGCAGGCTGTGAACCCGAGTATATTGTGTACCTAACCCGCATAGGATGGGGACTCAACCCACACACAGAAGGCAACCTACCCGTTCGCAGCGGGTACACAATCCGCACATGGCGTATTACCTGCGCTGCGTGGGTTGGGAACTCGCTTTCTGCGAGTACAAATATCCGCTGGTAGGGTGTCCAAATCAGCTGGAGGGTAAAGTACCCTCCAGTGGCGGCGTTCAAGGAGGAAAACGCCGCCATCGCCGGGATTCGAACCCGATATCTTTGACATTACAAACCGATGCGCTACCAACTGCGCCACAGGCGACCTGACGCAAAGCGACTGAAATGTCGGTGTATATCAGATTAAAATGAAGAACTGACGGCGGACTCAATACAGAAAGTAAAAAGGCTTATCTTAGACAATTGACATGAATCCGCCTATAGTGTTTTAAATATTAAGGAATAGTTTGGACAAATATTTCATTTGCATCGTGAAAAATTTATTTATCCAGGCTTTATTTTTACCAATAAAATGTGCTAAGAACGGTCTGCAAACTTCACCACAATGCGCCAGATTCGCGGACTGCAGAATATTCTGCTGAGCGTTCCAGCGAAATATTCTGCCGGCCAAGACGTGACGTCATCCAAACAATGATTCAAATGTCCCAAGCCCGTTAAGTACCCTCCTAACTCACAGAACGCAGCCCCACAGCTGTTACAGTTACGATTACAATTGCCTTGCACATCTCTACCCCTGCACAAGGCCTGCACAAGCACGCAGCCGAGCCGAAAAGCGACTATTGTGGCGCGTCACGTTTCAACACTCGTTTGAGCGTCGAAGTCAAAAGTATTAATTTCAAAACCAATGCCGTGCATCAGTGGGATATCTGCCATGACACATGCGTGATCAAGGCAACCTGCGTATAGCATGTCACCTACCTTGGCGCAGCGAGTTACACGATGCAAAACCTGCGTGATGCGCTTATTCCGTGGGCGCGAGTAACGCCTGCGGCCACAACCCGCTGCGGACGAGTGATTGACCCCGCCAGAGGAGGTTTCATGTATCCGCGCATGACGGGTTGCTGTTTTACCCGAGTATAGCGGGTGTTGACACCCGTGAAGCGGGTGAAAGCTACGATGATAACGGGATGCTCTGCGAAACGCGGGAAGCTAAACGGGTAGTCAGCCTACCCGGCAGCAAAAACTCGCGCAGAGCGGGTAATTTCTTCAAAATACCCGCGATACCCGGGCCAACTCGCAATCCGCGGGTTGAATTGTTTTCAGTGTTGACTGAAGAAGGGAGCCGAAGTGCTCTTGAAAGCTTCCGTTAAAATAATAAAGCTGGTGTCAAAACAACGTTTTATATGTACATACACGGAAATTTCTGAGTATGAGCGGCCGGCCGGCCGGCCGTGCGGACGCTTTTGCGAGGCTTATATCTCAGCAACCACTTGACCGATTTACATGCGGTAATTTTTGTAGGGTAGCTTCATTCCAATCCAATAGTCCAATACCAAGTATTGGACTATTCCCGATGCATTTGGGTGACCCCTTATGCACGTGCCAACTGCCACGTGCAAAACAAAGAGGTGTCAATTTGTCATTGTTGCAATATCTCGGTAACTACTTGGCCGATTGCGCTGAAAGTTGGCATGTAGATAGGCACCCAATAGGCACTGCATATCCATGTGCCAGACTTGGGGTGCTGCTGCACGTGCGCACGTGCAGGGGTCGTTTCCAGATCTCAAGAACGGCTCGACCGATTGCGCTCAAATTTGGTACACAGTTGGGGACCGGTAAGTAGGGTGCCGTGCACAAGTCTGTTGGGACCCATTTTGCACGTGTGCACGTGCAGGGTGCCGCTTCCAGATCTCGAGAACGGCTGGGCCGATTATGCCCAAATTTGGCACATCGCTAGAGACCGGTTAGTAGGGTGCCGTGCACAAGTCAGTGGGAGGTACCCCTCGCAATTTTGCACGTGCAAGGCCCACCCTCTCGCTCGCTCCGTTAGTCGCCCAAAAGGCGTTATACTGGTAGGCTAGGTTGAATTGGGTTAAGTTAGGCGAAGTAAGGTGGTTAGGACCAGGTCAGACCGTAAGGCCTGGTCAGGTTGATTTTATTCTTTCATTCTAATTTGACATAGATACCTATTACCTATGTTTTTCTCCAGCCTGAATTTCATTAGGTAATGAGTTGATTTTGCTTTGTTTTTATCTGTCTTGTTTTGTGTTTTTGTCCCTTATATTTTGCCCCATAGGCAAGGGTGGAGCTTTTCCAGGGAATGTGGTGGAGCATGATTGGAGGCGCTCCGTTAGTCGCCCCAAAAGGCGTTATACTGGTTTGCTAATATCTTTGGAATATTTATTGTGTTAACCCGCGCCCTACTGGGGGGAGGGGCTATTCATAGCCTCCCTCCCGTTTTTCTGCAATAACTTCCGAACGGCTTGACATATCGACGCCAAACTTTCAGTACCTTCGGCTGCATCAATTTGACAAATTGTGTCAAAATATGAACTTCGTAGCTACCATAGGTAGGCCGAAAATGACGTCAGAGTGACGTCATGTTCGGCGGATTTCGACGCAAAACATTGAACCACGGGAATCGCTCCCAAGAGCTCAGTGTTTAACCCGCGCCCGGCTGGGGGTCCTGGATTTCCACGCCCTGCTGGGGGGGGGGTGTTTGAACACCCCCCCCTTGTAACTCGGCTCCTGGGCCACGTAGCGATACGCGGAAGGCGGCGTTCGAAAGAGCGTCAAAAATAATGACGAAATCACTTCAGTCAATTTTTTGGTCAGGTCAAAGGTCAGGTCACCAGAGGTCATTGAAGGCAAAATTTCGCCGATTTCCAGGTCGAATGTCGAAAATTTCCAAGAAGCCAACGCATAACTCGGGAACAAATAGAGCTACAGCGCCGCGGAAAAGCGCATTCGATAGCCCTATTAACGCCCTTTCTGAGTATTTCTCTCAGATTTGATCTAACGTCAACGGTTTTGCCTGCAGGGGGCAAAAACTGCAAAAATAGCCGATTTTTTCGAAAACAGTTTTTCTGCAATAACTTTTGACCCAAGCCTTGTACGAGTTTACTTTTACCGGCATCGTGTTCCTCTCGTCAAGACGCATCGAATGAACTATAACTTGACCTTGAAAGATCAACTTGAAAATTTGACCTCAGGTCAAGGTCATGACCTGACCGGAAAGGGTCATGTTGCATATCAGTCGATCCGTATCGTCGAGCTGAACACATCTAAGGCGTTGTCATCGCTCTAGCATGCCTCTATCAAAAGTTATTTGCGAAAAACTGTTAGATACCATTCGTGACCTAAGATGACCTCAGGGCATAAACAAGGGTCACGGACACCATTTTCATGTTCAGTGTGTCTAAACCACTTGTGATTCGGTGATTGGGAGTGTTTATAATGTCTTGCATCCAAAAGAGGCGCATTTCAATTTTCTCCCATTGACTTATAATGGCGAGGTCGCAAAATTGACCTGACCTTAGGTCATCGATATCAAAATTCTGAGATATACATTTTGTACATGCTATTGCCCTTAGCAATCGCTGAAAGTTTCAAAGCGATCGGTCACTCGTTGTAGCTATGACAGACATTGAAAGTTTTTATGAGGTGAGGTCACTTCAAGGGACCTGGTGACCTGACCCTGAATGACCTTGGTCTGAAATTTTCACAACATGTGTAGAATTGATGTATGATAAGGTGTACCAAAAACGGCGGCGCTCCGCGCCGCCGTTTTTGAGATATTCGCGAAAAACCACAAGGGGGGGTGTTCAAACACCCCCCCCCCCCAGCAGGGCGCGGGTTAAGCTAAATCTAATTTATTTGCATGAGATGACTTAGAATAGACTGCGCTATCAAACTGCTATCTCGGATTTTCGAAATTTGGAAAATTTTGAAAATAATATTAAATAAAATTCAAAATTATATTTTTTCAAAAAGTTTTTGACTTTTTCGAAATAAAAACGGAATAAATGTGATAGGACGCATGCTTAGGACTAACTCTAGAAAGCTTTAGCTGAATATCTTCAAAAATGGCCAAGTTATACGCATAATTGCAAAAAAATCACAATTATTTATTTTTTAAATCAATTTTTAAGTACGTATTTGACATTGTACACCAATATAAATAGCACCAATATGTTCCTGAGCTCAAACTGCACCTAATAGACACCTTTTTGTTGAAAAATTTGAACT